CCGGTCGTCCTCTAACACACTTTCTCGCGCTAACACCGAGTTTTCTCTTTTGTAGGTGATGCCATCGTCATTTCTAGATGCCAGATAGGTTGTCGTATTATATGTTCCTGTCATGAATTCTTTAACCGAAAGATGTACTCAGAGTACTCACAAGATTAACCCCGTGAGATGGTTTCCAGATCTTTCTCAATGTAAGAAGAGTGTTGATGCCAAGAATGTCAAGACGAAGAATAGCAGGTGGTTTCCGGACCTGCGTCAATGTTGTACACACGGAGGTGAGAAGCAGAACCCTCTACCGAAGCTAAGTGCAACTGGTGAGAGGACCACCAATGTCTGTTTGTTTCCGAAGCGTCCGCGATCGAACACGACAACAAGAAAGGTTATTGCGCCATGCCGAGTAGCAAACACAGTGATGGGTCTCTGCGCAACTGGCAAAACGGGAAGTACAATCCAGATAGAGCGCCCAGGGAAGCGGCAGTGACCGAACGTTGAAGGCGAACAATCCATAGAGAGAGACGATGTACAGGACATGAGCGAGAACTTTGTTGTGAAAGAAATACTCTACGACAGCGTGGCGCAAGAATTGCGTGACAGCGACACTGAGGAAGAGGAACCTAGTGACGACGATGAGGAGGAGGGCGAATCGAGCGACGACGATGATGAGGAGGAGGAAACGAGCGAGGATGCCGATTCAGAAGACACAGACTGTGAGGATGATGAAGGGAAGAACGAGTCAGGAATTGATGTCAACAAGTTCAAGAAGAGTCTATCTGGAGAACTTTTAGGAGAAGCGAAGCAGATAATAACATAGGAGGTGAGAAGAGGACTCTACAGCAAATCAAGCAAGGGTCAGAAACCTCCTTACAACTTGGGAAAGCGCGGCAGGAACGTATGTGTGTACAACAAGAAAGCTAACTATCACGTGAACATGAAGAATGTCGAACTAGTTCTGAAGGAAGATTGCTGCAAGGCCAACTGTTACAAGAAGTTCACGGCGGTAGATGTTTTCTACAAGCGCGAAGAATTTTGGGCGATGAAACAACCTTAGCAACTCAACTTCTTTCTCGCAGAGATGAGGGCTGCGTCGTACTTTTTAGATGAGGGAGATTTAGAGGTGTTAAGAGTGACGTTCAACGACATAAAGGTTTGCACAAAAGCATGGGGGAAACTATACGAATGCTCGACTACACGTGTTGCAAAGATACGCAAAGAATTTAGAGAAGGAATGGTGTTGTACGAGCATGCAAACAAAGGATCAGTCGGATTATCTGCTTCATCACAACAAATTCTCGCCTGGTTGCATAAATATTTCTGATACAATACAGAGAGTATGCCAAATAGCGACCAGTTTCATCTTTCAGATACTCTCCGGTGCAGAGACGTGTACGACTTCTTCAAGCGAGACTGCAAAGAGCTCTACACGAATAAGACTCTTCCTTCCCGTTCCAGATTTATGACCATTTGGAGGGTTCACTGCCCGAAAGTTTTTATTCCTGCATTGAAGAGGTTCTCGGTCTGTTCCACATGTCTGAAATTCAAGACAGGCCGTTCACAGGCAACAAGTGAGTTCGAACGAGGTAATGGCATAACCTCAATGCTTATTTTCTCTTCCCCTGTCTTCCTGACCCTTCTTCTCTCTCTCTCTCTCTCTCTCTCTCTCTCTCTCTCTCTCTCTCTCTCTCTCTCTCTCTCAGTGTTCATTCTTCGATGTTTGCTACAACGCGACTGATTGTTTTGAATTATATCCCTTTAAGTTGTTTTTGCAGAAGGTAGAGGCTGTGACTTGCACATTTACGGAAGGATTCTCATGAAACTCTTCTTCGTTTCTCCTATTTCTTCTTCTTCTTCCTCTCTCTCTCTCTCTCTACATGTTCTTCGTGTAGAAAGAAAAATGAATCTTGTGTCAGCGCAAACTGGGAAGAATTCTTATGAAAGTAGTAAGTTTGGTAAAGAAATAATTAAACGTCTTCTCTCTGTCTCAGTTATAGTCCTATAACATTTTGTCTCTTATTCGTCTTCGACTTTTCAGAGTTAAAGCCCTTTACCACTTTATCTAATAATCGTCTTCTTGACGCCTACGTTGCCTTCCCCGAACTCGTTTAGTCAATCAAAATAGAAATTTTGGGGAAGAATGAATTAAAGATTCTACGACGTTTGTGGACTCACTTTTCTGAGTTATAGCCCTATAACACTTTGTCTAATAATCGTCTTCGACTTCTTAGAGTAAAAGCCCTTTAACACTTTATCTCTTAACCGTCTTCGGTT